GCATTTCATGTATTTCATATTACTGTAGTTTTGCAGAAACAATCAAGGGACTGCCAAACCGAGAGCTACGCTGTTCAGTAGGTCCATTTCACAACTTGGGAATAGTTAAGGGGAAAGGAGGAAGAGGGAACAAAATAAAAAAGCATCCGAGAGGCATGTTTATGTCGAGAAGTCCTTTTGAGGTAAGTAAAATCAAGAAATCATATTTGGGATTAAATATCTCAATTACAAATTTCATGAATTTTTAAGAGATTACAAATTCCTGAGGTTAGCTTGAGGAAACTCACCATAGAGCTACTCCGTCGATTCAAGTAAAATAATCCTGGGTTAATTTAAGAAAAGTAATTCTTTATATATTTCCATACGATTATGTTTCACAATTGCGTTTGGAATTTTCTGTATATTGTGGATAAATATATGCATAGACTGTATGAATGCAAAACTTATTCGTGCCTTAAAATACATATGATTTTACTATGCTATGATATGATGAATATGTTTATTAAAACATTGCTTTCAGGGAAAGCGTTGCGGAGGCATATTTATGTCGAGAAGCCACTTCAAAGTATATTAAATTAAAAAATCATATTTGGGATTAAATTAAGATCTCAATTACTAATCTCATGAATTTTTATGGGATTACAAATTCCAAGTTGTTTACACTAAGCGGCGAGCTCGAGGCAAACTTGAGAAAACTCATTATAGGGCTGCTCTGTCAATTCAAGTAAAATAATCTTATGCTAACTTACGAAAAATAACAATCTATAGGTTTCCATGTGATTATGTTTCATCATAACATTTAAAGTTTTCTATATATTGTGGTGAATATATGCGATTATATGAATGTAAATTTTATTTGCTCCTTAAGATACCTATAATCTTACTATACTATGAATTTGATGAATATGTTTATAAAATCATTGCATGCATGGATTGTTTATTACGATTCATGCATATATATGAAATGTCTATGATAAATATTTATTACAAGAATTATAATTTAAGAGATATCACGAGTCGTATTATATGAACGATTGCAAGTACGTAAGATAAAGTGATGAGATTTCTGACTCCTAACATTCAGACGAAGACGAAGCTCCAAGAACTGTTGAGATCAGATGGGAACAAAATATAGGTAACCATTGGTAACAGAGTTTTATTGATAACTGCTATGTAAGGAGGAGCCTAGTTTTTATCATTAATTAGTATAACCTTCGAGCTATGTTAAGATCCATGACATGACATGTAATTAGTTGAAATTTATACAAATACAAATGACATTTCTATGATTAGATTGATGATTCTTATGAATATGCTTATGATTACACATAAATAGATGAAATACATATTTTATATAACTATAATTCCCTGCATTACATATCATGTTTATTATGATTATAATATGTTGTGACATATGTTGTGGACATGTACATGAGTTACATTGAACATACACTATGTTTCTTTTTAGTCTATAAAATCTTATTTTAGCCTAAATTATTTCGCTGTGTTTCTTGTTGCTCACCTTGCGTTGACTTTTAGGAAGGATTGGGAGCATCTGGGCAAGTAGTCATGAGTGACTTATACAACTTTTACATTTCATAATTTTGAAAACTTGTGCAGATTTTTGGACACGTACTTTTATTATATTTGACTTAACAACTCTGCATATATATATGAATACATAGGCACTATGCATGAATTTTTAACGTATGAGAATATACAAAATTATGAAGTTATAAGTTTAATTGTCCTTAATTAATCCCCTAATCTAGCGTCAGCATGGTAGCAGCGACCTTTTCTTTGCACTTAGTTGCACATGCAACAGTCAGATCGATCGAATGGTTAGGATTAATTGGATCTCAGTTAAGGTGACACATTCCTTTCATTTCTCCCTGCCCCATCTCTTGATTTTGCGCATTGAAGGCTCAAACAACTATGCTGCAGTGTAGGAGCGACTTGTGCGATCAGTAGAGGGGGGCAGGGGACGATTCATGGCTCCAAGGGAAAAACCAGTAAAAGGGAACTTCATTTTCACAATATTCTGAACATTCATTTTCTTCCATACATTTCCATTTTAACATTTGTTATGAATTCAAGCATTTCATGTATTTCATATTACTGTAGTTTTGCAAAAACAATCAAGGGACTGCGTTTGCTTTGGTTGGGCTATTATTGGTTGTGATTGAGCTTGCTTTGGTTGGGGTTTCATTGATTATTGTTGAGCTTGCTCTTGTTTGGGTTAAATTGGCCGTGATTGTGGTTGCTTTGGTAGTGGTTCGGTTGGTCGTTGTTGACTTTGTTGTAGTGTGAGTTGTATTTCTAGATTATCTTACTATAATTTTAGGATTTTGTAGTGTTCATGAACTCATGCTAGGTGAGTGAAATACATGATTTGGTAATTTGATTTTACATATAATGCATTTTTACCAATGCATTAAATGTGTTTTCACATTTCAAAGTTGGAATAGTGATCTTTTATGTGATATGAAAAACTTTGGGTTACATAAATGTAAAAGATAAGTTGTTTGATATATAGTGAAAGTAAATGCTCCATCTTGTAAGTGTACGCACATTGCTGGCTTTTCAATATATATTTGAATGTTTTGCATGCATACAAGTCAATTCTTTGCATTCATATAACTGTTTCTCGTCCTCGTGGCTATATGATTTTCTGCCTTGTATCCATTTATAATTATACATTGTATTTGCTATGATAATGGGATCGTGATTGCTATAAGTAATGTGGATTTCAACTGACATTTCTTTTTAAAATATTATGTAGAGTAGTGATTGAAAAAAAAGAGCTCAACCGATAATCAGATATGATCCATATAATTGTTGGATGTCGTACCATAGATGCTACCAGGTCTTAAAACCTGCATGATATCGTCAATCACGGATACTATGCAGTTTTAAATGCCATACGACATAGTCAGCTACAAATAATATCTGGTCTTAAAGGCCACACGACATAATCAATCATATATACTATCTGTTCTTAACTACACGACACAGTCAACCACAAGTACTATCTGGTCTTCCAACACATCTAACATACTCATCCACAGATATACTCACTGGTCTTACAACACAACCGACACACTCAATCACATATACTACTTAGTCTTACAAAGACGGAAACAAATGACTCAGCAGACAAAAAATAAGAGTGTCTCATGCATCTGTAAAGTAATAGTAACACATCCTCCACACTTTTCCCATATCCCCTTACTCCAACATTCTAAAGCTGTTCATCCCCTCTCTATCCAAGCAGTGGCCTGGTGGCTGAGTGAGGGAGTGGTGGTCGGGTGAAGAGCGGCGATCTGGTGGTTGGGTCAGGATGGAGCTGCGGCTGGGTGAGGGAGGTCATGGGCTCCTCTGTCGCATGCGCACAAGAAAGAATGGTGCAAGGTTTTCGCCCGGGTGGAAGAAGAGGTCTTCGGCTCCTGGGTTACGTGGGCTTCGGTTTCATTTGTACAGAAAGAGATTTTGGCTAGCTAGGTTTAGGGTTTAGCTTTAGTACCAAAAAGAACTAACTGCTAAAAAAATCTTTTATTCATTCATGAAATAGGCTTATATAGAGTACTACAACATTTTACAAATATACCTCTAGGCTACTATATTTCCTTTTTATCATTAGGACCCTAAACAAGATACAAATCTCAACACCTCCAAAGACGTGCTTCCTCAGTTTCCACCCATGAGGTGGTATCATTTATTGCAATCTTGTTGGGCAATGGAAGAGAAGAGGAACAGATTCAATAAGGAAGAGCCAAGGAAAGTGCTTTGATAATACCTACAAATATGAAGAAGGCTTTATTGTCCATTCGTCAAGCATTCTAGAGAACAAATAAGATTCAAGTAGGTAGGTAGATAATTCTTGTTTTCTCATAGGCCAAAAAAAAATTTCCTAAATAGAACAGCTACAAAGGAATAAAGCAAACATGATCTGAATATTTGAATTTAGATCTTTATTAAATTCAAAGATACATAAAGAGGGACGAGGTAATGCAATGGATCAGAGAGACGGATGAAGCAATCTTGAAAACTCTCTGGACTAGTACAAGCGGATAGACAACATCATTAACTATAACCTTGGACTTTAGTAGTGTCCAATAAAACATAAATATCTTTGGACTTCCCAAGATCCCTGAACATTTTATAGCACCATTTAAGCAAAATCCATTCAACGAAAACTAGTATTTAATTCTAATTATAGTCAATTAGGAAGTCACGAACAAACATCTCAACTACCATTTAAATCAACCTTTCCATCACCATTCAATAACTACACCATTATATGTACCTGGACTTATATAATTAATCCTTCTGCTGCAGCCGAAGTTAAGTTTATGACATGGAAAATTCGTAGTTTTTAATTTTACAGTCTAAAGTACACATTCACTGAGAGCATATTTTTTTTACAAATATATTTATAAATAGTTTTCAAAAGATTATATTTTGTGTTTAAAAATATTTATTTGGTGTGTTTTCTATATATATATATAGAAAAGACCAAATAAATATTTTTAAACACAAAAGATAATCTTTTGAAAACTATTTATAAATATATTTGTAAAAAAAATTAGTATGCTTTTGAAAACACTAATTAACTTTTTGGTGTTTTGTGACAAGACAAAATAAAAACAAAACAAAATAGAAAATAAAAAATAAAAAACAAGAGTGATGCTAAGTGGCACCTAAGATTGTGCTTCTTAAGTTAAACTTGCGACTTACCAAAATAACATTGTCGGTTTGGACAAGTAAAGCCAGGAAACAGTGAAAATAAAGGATGTTAGATACATTCATACCTGCTTGAATTGAACATCTGCGCACTCCTCCTGGCTCAACTCTGATAAGAAAAATTTTCAAGGTTCAAAAGCAGGAAAGGGGTTTCAATCAAAATATGCCGCCGGAAAAAAAGTAAAAAGACGTCAAACACAATCATGAGGTATCTTAAAAATCACCAACCTTATTACATTTTACAGTTTGGCCATTAATATTTAAAAATAAAAAAAATTCAAATTTAATATAATTTGATTATTTTTTATGAAAATATCAAGCATGTTAAGTATAACATATCACATTAAATATATATAAAAAGATTGATAGAACAGTCCCATGTGATTTGCTAGCCATCAGTCAAATGATAGCTTAATGCTAATTAAAACTTTGATTTGTCAAAGGATAGCTTAATGCTAATTAAAACTTTGATTTGTCACAAAGTATTTAACATGAAATGTTCCACAATCACATATATTTCATATCTTCCAAAAGAAATGATCGAAATGCCATCAAAATTAAAAAACGTAATGATATTTTATATCATTTTATAATTTTTAGCCGGCCAAACTGTAAATTTAAAACTAAATAAATGATTCTTAGACTACTTTACTCGGAAAAATAAAAATAAAAACGGAAACAAAAACAAAATCCTTGAGAGAGACCCGAATGCTTAGATCTTTATAATATGTTTTATATTAAAATAAGAAAGGTGCCAATCAAAATATCCTATTAGAAAAGGAGAATTAAAGCTTTAAGAATAACTATATTGCTATAAAAACAAAATCAGTGATTCATAAAGAACAAAAATTCTAGAGAAATCCCAATTTTTAGAGTTTTAAAATGAGTACTTCTTAAAAAAATGACATTCAGAAATGAACAAACTCTATCAAACAGAGGCAAATGAGTACAGAAGAACTAACCAAAAGCTTCTAAAGGATTTGACCCTTCTTGTGAAAACAATGACCCTGTACAAACAAACTTGTTCTCAATCCAAAGGTTCATGGTAAAACATCACCAATATCATTATCCAACTAAAAAATGATCATTCAATAAAGTATCAAAAGATTAAGTGGCATGGTCTGGATGGCACAAATGTGTACCACTTTCAAAGAAAAACAGAATTGAAATGCAGAGGAAATAAGAATAGGTTCAAAGTAAAACATCACCAATATCATTATCCAACTAAAGAATAATCATTCAAAAAAGTATAAAAAGATCAAGTTGCATAGTCTGGATGGCACAGGTGTGTAACTTCGAATCTAATGCATCGGGGCTGGCTGAAGCAGAAGGAACATATTAGACAGTATATTTTTATAAAAAAAATATATATATATATATATATATATATATATTTGAAAGCCCAAAAAGGCTAATTTATTAAATAGAAAGAAAGATACAAATACAATATGTAGGAGGGCCTAAGCATGACACCCTGCCCACACAAAAATCACAAATGGTTCCAAAACTAGAAAGAACAGAAAAATAGATTAGATACTTAAATAAAAAGCCTAATAGTGGTGAAATACATATTATCAGGTGACTAGAGAGCGACCCAATTTGGTCTTGCCTCTACCTCTAGTTCTAGGGAAGGAGCAAGCTAATAAGCTGGTGAGATGATTGTCATTGTCAGTGATAACCAATGTATCATCCAATATGTTTCCGAGCTGGAGTCGGCCTTATTTTCTGCTTCCTCTTGGAATAGACCTGTCATTCCTCTTCCGAAGAATCCGTCTGATGGGGTGGTAGAGCTGAAGCAGAAGGAATATCAACCGTAGTACCCACAATATGTTCTAGTATATGTTAAGTATGAGTTGCCTCTACACCAGATACTTCCTGAAGAAGTGGAGCTACGAGACTCTCCTGATTATCAGTCTGAACACTATCACTTGTAGGTAATAGTCCATCAATATTATTTTGTATGGGGTTTGAAGGTGCCAACATCACATCATTCGCAGTAACAGTAACAACAGTGTCGGGGGGGATCCACATAGGCAACGGGCACCTTCTGTTTGGTAGTTCCTTTCCCA